TTTGTGATACTGGAGTTTGATCTTAGAGCCTCACAGTTTCTAGGCAAGTGGTGTACCACTTGAGTCATGCCCCAAGATCTGTTCTCTTATTTTTATAAGTGTCTTTACTGTTATGAATTCTTCACTAGGATTAAGGATCTGCTGAATTCAGAATTTTGAAATATCCTTAGACTTAAATTGTAAGTTATTTTTGGTTTTACTTCTCAGGTTACAGGAATTGACTGTTTGTTCAGAAGACAATGTTGATGTCCATGATATAGAATTGTTACAGTATATCAACGTAGATTGTGCAAAATTAAAACGACTCCTGAAGGGTAAGTTTAGATGTATGACATCTGAAATTAGTCACTATGGGTCAGACTCAGTATTGTGAGTGTACTAAGTGTACTAATTATATTGAACTAGAACATCAAAAGTGGATTTTATACTGCAAATGTTCCTGTGAGACTGCTAGCAATGTATATGGTTCCCTAATTTTTGAATCTTTGAAAATAATGTAGTAAAGAAGATGAGTAACTTAATTCTTGGCAATGCAAAGTTTTATTCAGCTACAATTTTTGGTTTTAGTAAAGAAAATGTAAGGGCAATGTTATTTAATGTTTCTGGAATTTGATCCCTTATGGATGGCTCTACATTATAGAAGTTATCTGTTTAGCTAATTGCAGTGCTTAAAGAAGTCTTTACATTTTTTAATTTTTGAATTATCATGTATTAATAATATGAGGAGGTTTCATTGTGAAAATTCCATACATGCGTACAGTGTACTTTGAACAAGTTCACCTCTATTATATTTTCATTCCCCTCCTCTCTCCTTTTCTCCCCTTTTTTAAACAATGGTGGGTTTCATGCAGTCTTCATATGTATATGAAGTACACTTCCATCCTAGTCACCCCTCAGTATCCTTTCCTTTCCCTCTCCCCTCTCCTGCTGATCCCCCTACCGTGTCCCCCATTACTTTCATGCCCCATTGTTATTATTATCATTATAGGTCTAAGCTCACAAATGAGTGAAAACATGCAATTATTTGGCCTTTTGAGCTTGGCTTACTTCATTCAGCATGATGATCTCCAGTTCCATCCATTTTCCTACAGATGACATAATTTCATTTTTTTATAGCTGAATAATAAAGAAGATGATCATTTGTAGGATTTAAAAATTTCAGTGCTTAAGGACTCGGGAGATTGTATGGCAAGAAGAGGAATTGAGCCAGGAAATTTCATTTGTGACATTTTCATTTTTCTTACTGGTTCATTGGCTAGCTTTATGATACTACAAAGTCTTTCAACCTTTCAGTGGCCAGTTTTGCTTCTCCATGGAATGTGTCAGAAGTTGTCTCATGGGGATGGGGATATTATAGCATCTGAGATGTAATTGAAAAGCTTCAGAAGTGCTTTACAATATTAAGTGATCTGAAATAAACTGTCTGAAGGCATTGAGAGAATTATTATACTAGGCAGTAAAGTGTTGATATAAATCAAATATCATTGAGTATTAGTCATAAACTGAGTGTGAATATTTAAAATTTTATTTCACAAAAGTTGCTTTCTAGGTTTAGGTATCATGGACCTTGCTAATTTAAACATGAAATCTTGTATACAGTTCACACCTATTTTTATTTTACTTTGTATCTTAGTTAAGGTATTATCAAAGTGTTTTCAATGTCTGACCTAAGGGAAAGAGATTGAGTTATATTTGCTTTGAAAAACCTCAACTGTTGTGTAATGCGGTTGATGTATGTTTTAAGAACATTTTCTTAACATTTACCTTAAACTCAATAACTATTTCACCAGAGAGAGAAAAAAGTTTATTTGTATAGAGGAATAAAATAAGATCATGTTTCATCTGTATTACCTTTTTTCAGAATTTATGATTTGTGTGTGGAGGTGTAGCTCAGTGGCAGAGTGCTTGATTCCCAGTATCACAAAAATGAACAAACAAAAACCATGATTTTAAGGTTTTTGTTTTTACAAAAATGTTTTACAGTCATTGTAAAAATCAAGCAACAATTTAATCAGTTTTAAGTGACTTTAATAAAGGGGAAAAATGAGTCATTTTAGCTATTATGGCAAGATGTGAATACATGGACAGAAATTACGTTAGCTTATAATATACCACCTATCTAATTCATGTTTGCAAGATTTTATTCTAAGGACTGCTGGAGTGGCTCAACTGGTAGAATGCCTGCGTAGCAAATGCAAAGCCTTGAGTTCAGTACCATTTTGTGGTACTGATGCTCGAACCCAGGGCTTCATGCATGTTAGACAAGTGCTCTACCACTGAGGTACACCCCCTAGTCCTGAAATTTGTAAAATTTTAATACTTACATTTAAACATTGAGCAGTTAAGGAACTGAATGGTAAAATTTAAAGATCTCCTCTATGAGTTAAATTTAAGGGCTGGGGTTGTAGCTCAGTGCTAGAGCACATACTTAGCATTTCCAAACCCAGGTTTGATTTCTAGCATCACTCCAAATAAGTAAATAGAGCACAGAGTTTTATGATCTTCTAAAAAATAACTTAGGTGACATTCTGGAAATAAATCCAGTTTTAGTTGCCCATGAATAGATGCTTGTTTAAGACAACAGTTTTCTTAGAAATATTCAATGTATGGTAATTAATTCAGCTGATGCTCCATGCCCAAATAAGAGAAAGTAAGGGTACAGGTAAATGAGTTGCTTTTGTATTGAGAGAACTATTCCCTATTGACAGGAGTTTTCCTCATAAACACAAATTAAGAATATACACTGATAAACATATCAAGTATAAAGTCAGTATGTTGTAGGGTAGCAAAAGATAGCTCTCAGTGACAATGGTGGAAGGAATGGGAATTTTCCATAATGGTAATAGAAGTAATAATGTGTTTTAAGTTCATTTCAAGAATTTGTTGAGAAATGCAATACAAAAGCATGTTAATTGTTCAGATTACAAAGATTAATAAAATACTGAATCATCCCTAAGGAACTCATAGCCCAGTTCATGCAACAAATTATTTGCCAAACAATATAGTAAACACAAACAGAGTAAGTATAAGATGAGAAAGAAGCTATGGTTTGGTTGGATGTGGGCGATGTTAAGAAGAAAGGAGCAAGATATGAGGACCTAGAATAGGTCAGATCGTGTTAATAGAAATAGAAAAAAATTTGTGGCCTTCTGTTGCCAGGCATTGTACAGTGCAGTTTACATGACTTTTCTGGTCAGTCCTAACAATAACCCTGTGATGCAATGTTAGAGTTGCATATGTATTACACAATGCTAGTATCTCATATAATAGATACAGGAACTGAGGCTTATGTGATGTTTCCAGGGTCTCAGAGTTAGAAAATTTTAGGTGGTAGAGTCACTTCTCACCTGGCCATTTCTGGAACCAAAATAAACTGTTACACTGTTGGACTTACGGGTTATGAGACTTTATTTTAATGGTTTTGGGAAGTGATAGAAAGACTTTAACATAGGAGTTAACCTTGTTCAGTTTTTTGTTGAAGACAGTATTTTGCTTGGAATTTGCAGGATGACTTGGTAGAGGGTTGCATGAACTTGTGGGACTTGATTGCATAGTAATGTGGTGAGAAATAATGAGACTGGTAGAGGTCTAGATGGGAATGGGGTGAGGTAGGGACCAATTTGATAGATATTTGGGAAGTGGAATATATATCACATTTGAGTAGAATGCATAGTGTTCCATAATCAATTTAGATATATGAGGCTAGTGATACATCACTGAAATTATAGAGCAAAGCTGATTAAATAAAGCAGGAAAGTGAAAGAAGTATTGATGGCAGAGAAGAGGTGGCTAGGAAGATGATGAATTCCGTTTTAGATTTGCTGAATTTGATGTGTCAGCTGGACATTTGTCCAGCAAGAAATTTGTAGAATGGAAGTAGTAAAAGATATGTATGTTGGAATTGAGACTAGATTACATAACACATTTATGGTGTCATAAAGGTAAAGTTGATAAATGTGGGAAGGCAGAAAGGCTAAAGAGAAGTACAATGCCATTGTCTGGGAACTCAAAGGAGAATTGAGAGCCAAGAAGATTCAAGGAGGAACATTTAACAATGCATTTGGGGTACAAGTTACTTATTCACAAGTCCAGAAAAAGAAATTCACATTTAAAAAGTCCTTTAGATAAATGCTCAAGGACTCTTCTCTATCTTAGAAAGATTTTATGAAATTGTAGCAAAATCTGGTGTTCCTTCATTAAAAGCCCATATGAGGAGTTTTTTGCTAAAGCACTGTTAGGGTAAAATAGTTTTTGGAAGGGTCATCTTTTCCAGATAAGATGTAGGTAATATATAGAAGATGAAACTCAAATATCAAATATATTTATATGGAGGTATATTTTTTAATCTTGGATTAAAATGCTTTCTACTATTTTGAACAATCTAATCAGCAAAATAAAAAAAATGAACATGCTTAATCATGGCAAGGATATGATACAGGTACTTTCATATGCTGCTCAGTGGGAGTGACATTTGGTCTAGCCTTTCTGAAAAGCAGCTTGACAGAATTTATCGAATACCTTAAAAAATAAGCATTTATTTGCCTAGATACTTTTACATCTAGACATTTGCTTTCCTTAAAGAAATAACTAATAATATGTGAAGAGTTTTGGATATAAAAGTTTATTAATGTTATTTATAATAGTGAAATGTTGGAAATAAATGTACAACTGGAAAACCTTTAAATAACCAGTAACTTAATTCTGTGAGAATTAATATTCTGAGAAACATCAAACATACTGAAAAGACTGTGACTTTGAAGCCCAATTCAGATCTGTGATTATAGATAGTTTGCCTATCTATAACCTGAAAAAAATCAAGATTTTGAAAGAATTAGATATATATAGGGGGCAATACTGGGGCTTAAACTCAGGCCCTTGCACTTGCTAGGCAGGTGCTTTGTCACTTGAGCCATGCCTGTAGCTAGAAAGAATTAAATATTTCATGCTGAAAACATCTGGCAGATTGTATAATTGTTTAATAGTTACTGTTGGATGTAGAACAAAAATATATTTTTGAATAATTTTTAAGGATTCAGAAATGTTGAGGATACTATTTTAAGTGAAAATAATGGTTTGGCATGGCCAGCATGTTCTCAATTATGTTAAATATTATATATGCATAGGAAAAGGGATAGGGGAAGAGTCCCCAAACTGTTAACTGTGATTATCTCTATAACATAGAATCATGGATTATCTTTTAACTTTCCCTTAGGGTGTTGTGTACTTTAATAATTTCTACAATAACTGTGTTGTATACTTTTTCAAAAAATAAATTATTAAAAATAAAGGAAAAACTCAGTTTTAGAAGTTTGTATGTTTGCTTTTTATTGTAGTTTGTCTTCAGGAGCCATACTCATGAGTTAGGAGTTTATATTAATTGCCTTCATCTTGTGTTGCTTATAAATAATACTGGAATGAAAATATGTAAAAGAAAAGTTATTATTCTAGTAGCTCTGAACTGTATTTGTGTTAATTAAATAATTTGGAGTTAACTTACAAACATTTTTTCTCCTTCCAGAAACAGCATTTAAATTTAAAGCCCTAAAGAAGGTTGCACAGTTAGCAGTTATAAATAGCCTGGAAAAGGTAAGCTACAACCTCTTTGTATTAAAGTTTTGTTTTTGCTTATAAATTTTGCTATCTTTAGTATTTTTGAATAAAAAAAGAAGACAAGTGATAATTTCCTGGTAATTTTTAGGATATATGCATTGTAGCATTTTTATGAAGGAAATTAGAAATTTATGACATTTACTGTGTTAAGAAAAGTTCATTGCTTTCATGTAAAGACATATGTTTTGTTACTTGTAGGCCTTTTGGAACTGGGTAGAAAATTATCCAGATGAGTTTACAAAGCTCTATCAGATTCCACAGACTGATATGGCTGGTAAGGCTGAGATTGATTTTTTTTTTCTTTTTCTTAAACTTTTATTTATGAGATAAAAACTGCCATTTCCCAAGTTTCTTTTGTTATAAAGGGCTTTTACATCTTCTATTGTCAACTGATATCAAATACAAAATACTGTTTTTCTCTCATATTGCTTCCAATTCTTTTCCCTTCTTTTGAGCAAGTAGATAAAGACATTTGAAATCTCTAATCTTTAGAGTTATTGTATATTTGAAGGCTCTCTGTTTCAGAACAGTACCTTTTTTTGTGTGTTCTGAGGCTTTATTTTGAATTTAGAGAGATGTATATAAAATAGTAATAGTCTTTTTACCTGTGGGGGATAGCTGCATGGCAGAGAATATAGGCTCCTGGGCAACTTTGATAATTATTTCTGAGAAGATGTCCAGTTTTTGTTGTTTAGGCATATCAGACTTGCATAAGCTCCTGCACGTTGAGACAGAACACAAGATCAATTATTCTAAAATGTGAACTTTTCCAGGATGCATTGAGATATCTCTTCTAACATATATACAATGTGACATGTCTACTTACCTGATTTGAATTTATGTAGTTGTTTAAGTGACCATCCAAATTTATCTCTTCAAATTGCAGCCTTTAGGTTTTTGGATGGTGTTGGATTTTAATTTAATGCCAAGACTTTCTTCTTATCTAATAATGTCATTTAATATTTATATTGTTCATATAGAGTGTGCAGAGAAGCTGTTTGACTTGGTGGATGGTTTTGCTGAAAGCACCAAACGTAAAGCAGCAGTTTGGCCACTGCAAATTATTCTCCTTATTTTGTGTCCAGAAATAATCCAGGATATATCCAAGGATGTGGTTGATGAAAACAATATGAATAAGGTGAGGAGGGCAAATTAATTTACATTAAAGAGATGTGAAGCAGTTCTATTCATGATATGTATTAGTTTAGGCATTTCATTCTTTAAACAAATTATAATTTTGGTCATTTTAGGTGTGTTTGCTTGCCTTATAGCGGAAGCATACATAATTTTATTTGGAAGAGGAACAAATAGTAACATTTAGTGATCTAGATTTAAAATAATCCATTGGTTTCTTTTACCAGAGAAGACTAAACGATAGATCTGTTAATACCAAACATAGGTTTCTCTAATGTTCACTTCAGAGATTGCCTTTCTAGACTTTGTTACTTTCATAGTGTGTTGTTTTAACTTGGTGCTACTTTAAAGTTACTTGGTAACTTTATTTTGGAACAGTTTTCACAGAGTTTTATTAGGAAGGCAGGATACCACATATACCCTCTGTGTTGAAATTAGCACTTTATTGTAATTCTAAGGGATCTTATTATTTAAAAAAATAGGAGTTGAGTATCTTAACTATATTATTTGAAGTTCAGTATGCAGTTGTTTTGCTATACATTGTTTCCTTTTCTGCTACTTGAGAAGAAATATTCTTAGTTGACTAGTCATGGAATGGGCTGTGGATGGAGATGTTTGAAATCAGCTGAATGACTTGCTACTTTGTAGAAATATTGTGTAGGGAATCGATACATTGAAGGTAAATTAGTGAACTAAGTAAACCTTGAGAGTCTATGATTCCCTGGTATTCCTCTTAGTTCTGTGTCCAAGCTTTTTAAGTGTGTGTGTGTGTGTGTGTGTGCTTTTTAAGTGTGTGTGTGTGTGTGTGTGTGTGTGTGTGTGTGTGTGTTTTGCTGGGGGTAGAATCCAGGACCCTTACTCATGCTAGGCAAGTGCTCCACCACTGAGCTATCTATACACCTCACCCCTTCTGTCCCAACTTTTGAGGACATCAGTTTTTATGTTAGATGTTGGGAATCCTTCAAAATAGTAGGGTTTTTTTTTCCTGTTGTTTTATTTCTATTTATTGGGAAAGTAGAGATAGTTTAAAGTCTACTATAAATTCAGTAAGAATTCAAATGAATTTATATTTTAATCACAAGTATATCTTTCTAAATGTTTATTGGTCATTTGTGAATTTGCTAGTTTTACTATTGAAATTGTTATTTTTACTGATTTGTAAGATGCGTATACATTTTTACTTGGTTTTTCCATCCTACTTAGATGTTCCAACTATATGTAGTCAGCTCAGTCTTGTTTTTTCTTTATTTTTGTCTCTTAGTTTTTTTGGTCAAATTTCTCTTGCCCCAAGAGTTTATTTGCTTGTTTTATAAAGCTATAATTATATGACATGTAATTTACCTCCTTAAATATGAGAGTGCCTCTACCACATTTAATATGAATATATAAATATATTCACAAAATTGTGCAATTACTATTTCCGTTTGCTTCCAGAATATTTTCATTTGCTCAGCAAGAAATTTTTTATTCATTAGTAGGCCACTAATCTACTTTTTTAAATATCTATAAGTTGGCTTATTCTAAACTAGATATTTCATATAAATGAAATCATACAATGTGTGACCTTTGTGTCTGATACTCTGTAAGATTTTTAAAGTATGTTTCCATTTTTTGTAGATTAAAAATTTTAGATTTTTATATGTTTCTGGATTTAAAGAAAGGTATTTATTTTTTATGTGTTCTTGCTCTTCTATAGTCACATTCTCTCTAACCAGTTAATGGCTTGTATGTATCCTCCCATTCATATCTACTTGCTCATATAAACATTCAGATGAATATGCTCATGCGTACACAGGGTGGTGGATGTTGCATCTTACTTTATTTTATCCAAGAATATATTTTGACTGTTCCTCAAAATAGTTATAGAGATCTACCACCTTCCCCCCCCACCCCCCTTTTTTTTTTTTTGGATGGGACTGGGGTTTAAACTCTGGGCTGCACTTGCAAGGCAGGCACTCTACCATTTGAGCCACACTGCCAATCTATTTTGCTCTGGTTATTTTGGAGATGGGGTCTTTGGAAATATTTGCTTCAATTGGCCTCCAACTGTGATTCTCCTGACCTTAGCCTCTCAAGTAGCTAGGATGACAGGCGTGGGACCCTGGCACCAGGCTAAAGAATAGTGGGTTCTTTTTTGTTGTTGTTGTTTTTGGTGGAACTGGGGTTTGAACTCAAGGCTGCACTTGCAGAGGGTGCAGTCTACCACTTGAGCTGCACCGCCAGTCCCACATTCTGTTAACTGTACTGAGCCTCATTTGCTCAACCATTTCACTGTGAATGAATGAATATTGAGAGATATTTTAAGGTTTTTTTGGCATTAAATATTTTAAGTATTTACTTTGTTTATGTATTCATGTTAACTGATATTCTAATTCATAGACTAAAATCCCAAATTCAAATTTCTGTGTTGAGAACATTTGAAAATTGAAAAATTGTAATAATTATTCCTAGATTTACCTTCACCTGTAGTTGCAGCAGGTCACATTTTCACCAGCATTCAATTAGACTGCCCATTTTTCCTGCATCTTCATCGGAATTAACTGTTTTTAAGTTTTTTTAAGTTTTTGCAACAATAATAAAGTGAGACAGTATCTCATCTCAGGTATTCTCACCTCCTCCCCCAAAAGTAAACTATTTCAGCTGATGGATATGTTAATTAACTCGATTGTGGCAATCATTTCACGGTGTCTATCAATAACATCATGTTGAACTGCTTAAATACATGCATTTTTTGTCAAACATACAAGTATAATTGGGGAAAGTGTCATCATGGAGGGAAGCAAACATATATACTACAATTAGAATTACATATAAGTTTGCAAGTATAGAATGATAGCTACATAACAAGATTAGGAAGAAGAAAAAAAATAGATGTGTCAGCAGTTATTTCTGTAAATGTAACTCCAGAGTTATAAATGTTGAAAATAAGTTGCATTCATGAACAAAATGAAGATTATAAAAATAAGGAATCCCACTAACACTTATACTTCTTCATTCAAAGATTTATACCTCAGTGCTTATCATAGCTTTATTTATAATAGCCTACACTTGAAAATAGCCCAAATGTCCATCAGCTTGTGAATGGATAAGCCAGCTATGATGCTATGAGATAATGAATTAAAGGTAGCTAATTAATTAAAAATAGCTAATTAGTGACTTGACAACATGGATGAATCTCTAAAACACTGTGCTAAGCAAAGGAAGCCAGAGAGAAGAGATGACATACTATATGATATCTATTGTTTTGTTTTTGCTTTTTCTTCTTTTTAAAATTTTTTCTTTTTTATGATTTCTTTAAAAAGAATTTCTGGAGAAGTCAAAATACAGGAACAGAAAGCCCATCAGTGGACAACAGGGGTGGGAGTTAGGGAAGGCAATGGATTGGAAAGGAGCACTGGCAGCTTCTCATGTTGACGGAGGTGGTCCCTAGCATTGTGGTTGTGGTTTTGTGACTATCCTTTCTCAGAGTTCATTGAATTTTGCACTGAAAATTGCCGATGCTCATTATATGTTAGTTGTACCTCAGTAACTAAAAGCAATCTTATCTTCAGTAAATGATATAAAAGTATTAATGACTCAAATACTAATTTCCAATTGAGGGCATTGATTATAATTACTGAGTGAATATTTAAAGAAAGAAAGATAGTATCTTATTTTAATTTGTATTTTTCTTAAGATTAGTGAAGCTGGATGAGTGGTGTATGCCTGTAGTCTTGTTACCAAGGAAAGGGGAGGGACTGGCTTCTCAGTTTCCATGCAATTCATAGAAACTTGAGATCCATGATGAAGAGCATTTCAAGGGGTCTCACAAAAAGAATTTCACAAGATGGAATTTATTTTAGTAAAACAGGATGAAATGGGGAGAGATGGGAAAGGAAAAGAGAAACATACTTTACATGCAGGAGATGTGAGTAAGGAGGACTCAAAATAATTTTTGTCGGGAGCATTTTTCTGGGGACTCCCTCTTTTTTTGTGGGGGGGGTACTGAGGATAGAACTCAGGGCCTCATGCTTGTTAGGCAAGTGCTCTACCACTTGAATCATTCTTCCCTAGCATAGAGGTAAGGGGTTTGGGATGGGTTTGTCACCTAAAACATGGGCCAAGGTGGATCTTGTTATTATTCCAAAATTTGGAGACAAATTATTGAGGACTACCCAAACATAGGGGCAATAGGTATAACTTTCAGGCATCCATTTGCCAGATATGCTGTTTAATTTTTTGTCTCTACCTATTGAAAGAATTTGCAGCTTCTTAATGTCCAAAAGGAGAATGCAGACTTACATTGATTCTGTGGGAGGAAAGCTCAATGATCTTACTTTTCAGCTTTACTTACTGGTTCTGCTTTAATCCCTGTGTCTGGCCTCTTATATATAGACAAACAAACAAACAAACAAATAAATATTTTTAATTTTCTTGCAATCCATCTGTCCTCAGTCTCAGCTACTGTGAAGGCTGAGGGAAAAGGATCACTTGAGCCCATGAGTTCAATGACAGGTTGAGTAACATAGTAGGTGGGACCGCCTGTCAGTAACAACAAAAAAGATTAGTGGAGTTCAGGATCATTTCATACATTTTGTACCCATTTTTATGATTTCTGTGAAGTACCTATTGATTTCCTTTACCTATTTTTTTTTTAACTGTGTTGTTTCCTAGTCTCTTATTTGTGGAACTTTTTGTATGTTAGAAGCAATAATCCTTTATTTTTTGTCTGATGTAAGTATTTTTCCAGTCAGTTGTTTCTTTTGACTGTAGTATCTTTTTTTAGCAGAAATATTTTAAATGTACAAAGAATATAACAAGTGAGTTATACTCTATTAGCATTTTGATATATTGCTCTTCCTTTTTCTGTTTATATATGATTTTAAAAATTAAACAAGGTTAGACATGGTGGTACACACCTGAAATCCCAGCACTTGGAGGATCAGGATTTCTGGGCCAGCTTGGGCTATATAGTGAGACCCTATCTCAAACAACAGTGGCAAAGCAAACAAAAGCAATAATATTTGCATAAAGTCTCTTTTAATTATAGAAAAGCTGAAATCTGTTTTGACTCAACTAATTTCCTTTTCATTCTCCAGGAATAGCCACTGTTGAGAATCAGATGTATATTCTTCTAGTATAGGTATTTTGTATTATGGGAGGTTAGGGTTGAGTTAGAAAGTTAACTAGATAAACATCTAGTTTGGTATGTCTCAAAGTATGGTGTACAATAGCATCAGCATCACCTGGAGACTTGTTAGAAATGCACATTCTGAGGTCCCTACTCTAGGCCTGTTAAGTCAAAAGCTGTGGTGGTGGGGGCAGCTGGCAGTATTGTTAGCAAGCCAAAGTTTGAGAATTATTGTTCTGGGGTGTGTGTGTGTGTGTGTGTGTGTGTGTGTGTGTTAGTAGTGGTAGGGCTTGAGCCCCTCCAAAACCTAAAGAACTCTGAACTCTTAATGGTTTTAGAACTCATTTATACCAAATCAGATTATTTCTGTTACTTAAATTTTATATTCAGAGATAAAATATATTTAGAAATTTGAACTATTGTCTATTCTTGTGTTTTGTGTGAGAGTTAAATTTGGTTGGCTCTTGGCAAATGGATTGGATAGCTATTTAATAAAATATTTCCTTCTAGCGCTTTGGTCTTAGGACTCTCAAAAATGTGTTTAGCATGACACTTATTTTCACAGTTGAAAGCAACTAGTTATTGTAACACTTATTTGTGCTAAGTTTATAACATGAATTTGGGAATGTGAGGTTTTTCTATGGCTTGGAATAGTGTAAGTAATAAAAATTATCTAATTAGATAAAAATCAGTTGTAAAATCATCAGGGTTGGGTCTTTTCCTTTGACTTTTTGCTCATCATCATTACTTTTAAAGAAAAGTAACTAATGGACACAATAGAAATTTTACCATATATCAGAAAGAGTATTCAGTGGAAAAGCAAGCCTCCTGCTGTTTTCTTACTTTTAGTTTTAAACTACCAGTTCTACTACTGGCTACTTCTAGGTATTTCTAGAACTAGCTTGTGCATCTATTGTGTGTTTAAAATAACTCATTGATTACCCTTTTCAAGCTCTGTTTATGCTTATTGCTCAATATATTTTGTCTTTTAAAATTTTCTTAAATGTCTGGGTGTGCTGGTATACACCTATAATCCCAGCTACTCAATAGTCATATATTGGTAAGATCTTGTGAGCACTTCAAGGCCGTCCAGGCAAAAAGTTAGACCAATAAGTTAGACATGGTGGTATGTGCCTGTCATCCTAACTATATAGGAGGTGTAAATAGGAGAATTGTAGTCTAGGCCCGGACAGGGCAAAGATGCCAGATTCTACCTGAAAAACAACTAAAGCAAAAAGGGCTTGGAGGCCTGGCTCAAACAGTAGAGCACTTGACTAGTAAGTGTGAGTCACTGAGTTTAACCCCCCCACACACTCCTAAAAGAAAGCACAGAAGATTTTAATATTATTTATTTTTATCTTAAATTTTTTTGATTATAGTAAAATGCACATAAAATATATCATCTTAGCCATCTTTAAGTGTTAAGTAACATTAAGTATAACTAACATTGTTGTATAGCCAGTCTTCAAAACCTTTTTATTTTGCAAAACTGAAACTTTATACTCACTTAAACAACTCCCTACTCTCCCTTATCTCCAGTCCTCTGGCAACCACCCTTCTACTGTAAATTGTGTGCGTGTGTTTGTGTGTGAATTTTTATGTACATGTGTATCTGTATTTATCCAGATTTATCTGCCAATGGACATTTAGGTTGCTTTCCTCTTTTGGCTGTGTGAATATGATGAATATGGGTGAACAAATAACTTTGAGACCCTGCTTTCATTTTTTGGGTTTAAAGTCACTTTCAAGTTTGTTCTTTGCTAGGAAATATATTTTTCAATGTTATCAGCACAGTTGTACATAATATCTTTATATCATACTGCTTTCCATTCTGCCATGCAGGAGAGAAAAGGTCACATATGAAAGCACATACTTAGGGGGAATGGTATGCATCACTTTCATTCGTATTCCACTGACTAGAACTCAGTCACATCGCCACATCTAATTGAAGGAAATGAGAAATACGTCTTCAAGGACACAGTGAGCATGGGAATCAAGGAATAAAGAGTCAGGACAGAGGAGTTGTTAAGGATGGTTTAAGTTATAGTCTCCTTAGAATGAATGAATGAATGAATGAATGATTCATTCCTTCCTTCCTTCCTTCCTTCCATCCCTCCCTCCCTCCCTCCCCCTTCCTTCCTTCCATCCCTCCCTACCTCCCTCCCCCTTCCTTCCTTCCTTCCCTCCCTTCCCTTTTCTTTCCTTCTTTTCCCTTCCCCTTTCCCTCTTTTTCTCTCCTCTTTTTGATGGGACTAGTGTTTAAACTTTCATCCTCCTGTCTCTATTTTCCCATGTTTCATCTTCTTGTTAGTGTCATTTGGCACAAAATACTATCTTTTCATCATTTAGAGAATATTTTAGTAGTTTGTGTAACCATACCCAGGTAGATAAGACCTTATGTATTTAATGTTGTGGGTTATTAATCCCCTGTACAAATGGAAGAAAGTTAATTTTAACATTTCTAGATCAATATGGCTATTAATTTCTGTACAATGCCAACTCAACACAATAAACTGAGATATAAGCTAAAGTTTTTAAAATTCAAATTACATATATATGTATGTTTACATAAAATATCAATAATAGCAATGTGTTACATATCAGTAGCAACAATAGCCTTTCCAGGTTCTGCAGTCATTGAACAAAATTATAGAGACATTCAGCACACTTCATTAAAAAAAAAGTAAAAAACAAACTCCCAGAAAAGAGTAAAGTTCTGTTATTGTTGTGGTATCTTGCACCATTATTTTATTAGCTTCTCAATCATCATCTGGAAAGAAAATATTCCAAAGAACATCATTAAAAACAGCTCTGATAAAGCATGGTCTCTACTACATATCATAAAGCAGGTATGAGCTGTTTTCCATTCACAGACATACAGTACAGTAGAGGGTACAATTAAAAAGGCATTATTTGAGATGATTCTACTTTTCCAGCTGAGGGTCCAAAGGATGGTATGACACAGCTCTGTAAAGAAATGGACTTTATTGGGTAGGAGTTTCCTCTTATTAGTAGCACAGTTCTGAGTACTCATTATTTATGAACATCAGCTAAAAGCTGTTTTAAAAGCCGGGAAACCACCCCTCACCACCACCAAAAACACAAAACAAAAAAAACAATCCATTGGATTCATACAAAGATGACAGAATGGAGCCAAGCGAGACTCAACCTAACTAATACTTTACTAAATCTGTCATGTTGAATGGTGAGAACTCCATGGAGGTGCCAAGTAGCACTACAGAGCTTTGGACCACAGTGAAAACACAGCATCATTTTAAATACAAGCCATAGCCAGACACTGCTTGTTTGGGTATGTTCAAGGAATTTCCCTTTTTTGTTTTTGGCAAGACTGGGGTTTGGACTGAGAGTTTCACACTTGCTATGGAGGTGTTCTACCTTTTAGTCATGCCTCCACCTCTGTTTATAGGATCTCACTTTTTGCTCAGCCAGCAGGTTCGCCATCCTCCTATTTTATGTTTCCTGCCATTGCTGGGATGACAGATGTGCATCACCAGGGTCTGTGCACTGAAATTGGTTTGGAACTGTAGTAGTCATGATCTTCACCTCCTTGCTAGCTTGGGATGACAGGTGTGCACCATCCAGCTATCAGTTGAGATATGGGGTCTTGTGAACTTTTTGTTTGGGTTGGCTTCAAACTGTGATCCTCTGGATCTTAGCTTCCCAAGTAGCTAGAATTGCAGGTGTGAGCTACCAGCACCTGCCTGGAATTTTATTTACTTATTTAATTTAATTTTTAATTTTTTTATCATATTATTGTACTGGGCGGAATTTTCCATCTTGAAGTCCAATTTATCCATTTTTGGCTTTTATTGCCTGTGCTTTTTTGATATCATATCCAAGAATTTACGACCAAACCCATTGTTGTTTTCTTCTTGGGGTTTTATTTAATTATAAGTGTAAGTTTAGGTCTTTGATCCATTTTGAGTTAATTTTTGTATGTGGTGTAAGTCAAGGGTCCAACTTCATTTTTTTTTTTTTGCATGCAAATGTCCAGCTTCCAGTAACATTTGTTGGAAGACTATCCTTTCTCCATTGAATGGTCTTAGCACCACCCTTGTGAAAAGTTGTTGGCCATGTTGTGGGGTTTCTTTCTATCCTCTGTTTTTTCCATTGGTTTATATGTCCATATGCCATTGTCAGATTGTTTTCGATCATTGTGAATTTTCCAACTTTGTTTTTCTTTTCAAGATTGTTATGGCCATTTGGGGTATCTTGAGATTCAATATGAATTTTAGGATAGGCTTTTCTATTTCTGCAAAACACATGGTTGGGATTTTGACAGTGATTGCATTGAGTCAGTTGATTGCTTTGGATTGGTATTGTTATTTTAACAACCCACTCATATGTGATGCATTTCCATTTTATGTTTGTTTAATATTTTTCAGCAGTATTTTTTAGTTTTCATTATGAAAGTCTCACCTCCTTGGTTAATTTCTCAGTATTTTACTCTGTTTGATACTCCTATAAGTGGACTTGTTTTCTCAATTTTATTTATAAAATTTTTAAATTGCTAACCTAAAATCCAGCTGATTTTTGCTGAATTATCTCTTAACAGTTTTTTGTGTCTGTGTGAAATCTTAAGGGATTTCTACTTAAAATTTTGTCATCTGTGTGTGAACAGGGTTAATTTTATCTTTCCAATATGGATGTCTTCAATTTCTTTTTCTTGTATAATTGCTCTGTCTAGAAGTTTTAGTACTCTGTTGAATGAAGTGGCAAAAGTTGGTGTCTGTTTTGCTCCTGATCTGTAGGGAAAATCTTTGTCTTTTATTATTGAGTGTGTTGTTAGTTGTTGAGTTTTACTCTATGGACTTCATCATGTTGAAGAAATTTCCTTCTATCCCTATCTGAATTTTTTTCATCTTGAAAAGATGTTGAATTTTTATCAAATTATTTCTTTAATATATCGACCTTAATATGTTAGTGGAGATGATCATGTGGATTTTTCCTTCT